CTTTGCCACTACTACATTTGACTCGCAAAAAGTGTATTCGGACTGTTTTCATAGTAGTTACTTTCGGTTGCCGAGTCTGCCTCCAAAAGGTTGGCAAATTGCAATCGCCGAAGTTTCCTCTTCTCGTGTGCCTTTTTTATAAGAATAGCTCATAATAATTTCGTTATCCTATAATTACTCGTCTTAATAAGCGATCATTCGGTCCATTTGGTCTATTAATACTTAATTGTCCGGCTTTGAGTGACCGTAATACTAATTATTGCCCTTTAACGACGTTGCTGTTGGCTGGATTATTTTAGATCGCAGCGAGACAAAAAGCGTCTACACTGTAAGGGCGAGTTAAGCTATTACTCTCCAGACCATATAGTATTTAAGTGTTTAAGTCTTTAAAATCAAGAGCAGCTCACTTAAGAAATGGTCCCCTCAAAAGCCAACTTCGACCGTTTCCAGATCCGTGGAATTCGTACCTAGATCAAAGGCAACTTTTTTCTTATTCTCAAAGTGCTGTTCCCAAATAAGCCATTTGGTAAAAGGTAGCGAAACCCAAAAGAAGTGCCACTTCTTAATGCAATTTGCACAATTATTATGAATATTTTACCGTCGTTTAAGCTTGGCGTTGCTACGGCTCTTGATTTCAATCTTGAAGAACATTGGACTTGGTCGATTGTCAAGAAGGGATGCAGGTTTGACAACTCCTTTGACGAGAGTTTCGTGGATTCAACCACTTTTAACGAACACTTTTCCTCCGCAACAGCAAATTTTGCCAACCAACCAAAGAAAAATGGATATTTGGCTTCCTGGATAAGGTTTGCCTGCCACTGCCATCGATGCGGTAGAACGGCACTGGTTGTAGAGGCGTGGGCAGAGGGCTAAACCACAAGGCGGTGCGAACCGCGGAGGTGGAAGAATCCATTTAGTTGGACATACCGTCCAGCAAAATATAAAGCATTGCTACGCAAGTTCAAAGCGATTACAAAGCGCGTCCCTGCCTTTCGTCAGCCGTTCCCCCGATATTTAATTTTGTGATAAACTCGAAAATCGAAGGTAACTACTGTCGAAAACAGAGTTTGAACGCACTCTTTGCAAGTCAAGCGTAATAATATCAAAGCAAATCCTGGACGATGAATACAAAAGTAGACAACCGATTTCTCCATAGCATCTGCTCTGTTCACAGCGACACTCTCATCGTAGAAGACGTAAATTAACTCCAGACAAAGTCCCCTAGTCTAAAAATTGATGGAAGTATCTGCAGTTCCAAAAATAGCGTTTCTAGTTTTGCGTGGTGAAATCGTCGACGCATTTCACATCACTCTCACTGAGACCCCCTTCGTGATTGGTCAATAATGCAGTGGTTGTATCACAGCCAATCAAAATTCGCGAAGAGAACCGACTCATGACTCAGTAATGCGGCCAACGGAAGTGGAAAGAGGATTCTTTGGTTTCCGCAATCTCGGTTTCCTGTTTGGCGAGACGGACATCCACAATCTACCAGTCCTTTCGTAGGTTGATAATGAAGTCCCCTTCATTATTTGTGTACTTTGACGTCTTCTGGAGTGAGGCTGGGTGATGCGTCGGTCAGTTGTAGAGAGAAGCGAACTCGATCCTTAAAGAGCGTCTAGTCTGATTATTCAGACTGACTACAAAACATTAAAATTACCGAAGGAGGACGTCTACT